CACACACGCACACATACCACCACCACCACCACCACCACCACCACCACCACCACCACCACCACCACCACCACCACCACCACCACCACCAACCACCACCACCACCAGCACCACCACCACCAGCACCACCACCACCACCACCACCACCACCACCACCACCACCACCACCACCACGACAACCACGCACACACGCACGTACGCACGCACGTGCACCACCACCCACTACGCACGCGCTCGCGGAGCCACCGGTCCGCTACGACACGCGTCCGCGGATAGAGAAAATCAGCACCATGGTAAGGGATGGGAGGGAGGGGTAGGACGTCAGATATGACGCGAGCGCACCTAGCTTGTCCTCCTCCCCTCTCCCTCCCCCCGTGGAGTCGATCTTGGCCGTTTCTGGCACCCGTTGCGAGGAGGTGGAGCCTCAAGGGTCCCACTCCGGCGGATCTGCGCGCTGCGCTTCGAGCAGGTGGAGCCTCCCCCAGAGGACGCACTGCTGCAAGCAGTCAGGAGGGAAAAAGCACACACAGACACAATGAATCGTCGATTCCCAGGAAAATATGGGAAGATATGGGAAGTGGGGGGAAGACGAACATCCAAAACATATGGAAAAATAGGGAGATCCTGTTTTTCGTGTGTATTTACTTGTGTGTCCTTGGGCCCCTTCAAACAGTCACATCAAGCAGAGGTCTGGAGCCAGACCCCCCCCTGTCCCCCCCTCCGCCAACTGTCGAACCGCCGAATAAGAAAACACGGACCAAGGGAGTCCCAACATGGTACGGTGCATGGGCGCCGCTTTCGCATGTCTGTGCGCAGCCCGACGCCTGACCTCTCTGCTGTCCCCCCCTCCTTGGCGCGTCGCCGACCTGCCTCCGGAGAGCCGGGTGCTCGCCTCGTGAGCCTCGCCTGGCCGCCGAGACGGGCCAGGGATGGAGCCCGCTCGGCAGCCGGGCGGGGCTACGGGGGTGTTCCTCCCTCGCGCCGGGCGAGCGCGCCGCCAAGGAGGACGGGGGGATGCGCAAGAAGAGGAGGCCGAAGGCGAGAACGGAGTGGAATGGACGCCGTGGCTCAGAGCGTTAAGTACCTACCCCGCTTTCGCTTCAAGAGAAAACCAAGTCATACCACGCGCCTCCTGGTCAGGCGACCTGACTGGTGCGGGCCGTAGCCTGGTGTCGTTTGGTATCGTTTGGAAGCGAGTGTGGTCAAAAGCGAGGTAGGTTCGTTCGCCTCCTAGTGGCGGTGTCACAATGATGCTGCCGCGCACGTGCCCAGAGCTCGCGGAGCAGCGAGACAACCTGGGTGAGCATGCTCCAGCACCGAAGGCGAGCTCCACGAACTACAGGCAGAGTTGACTGCACAGGACACGCGACAGGACACAAAACTCTTCCAGCAACCAAACGTCGTACGGCCAGCCACCGACGAAGTCGGAGAGAGATCCCGACGCCCTCGTGAGCGCGGAGGCGCTCTCTCGGGAGGACTACGAGTCCAAGGGCTGGGAGTTTTGCATGGGATCCTACTGGGTACCCCCGCAGCGGCTGGGTTGGTGTCGTCACTGCGCTGCCCTCGACGACTGGAAGGTCATGAAGGCGGACTGCGTCCAACATGGCCTCTCCCCAGGACTGCAGAGGGCACGACGCGCGACGCATAGGACACAAGAGTACCTTTGATTTGGCAGGGTTGACCTGCTAATCCGGGCTGACTGTACCACGGTTGGCAAAACAACCTCCCGAAATTGAGCGAGTGTGAAATATCGTGGCCCAACTAGCAGCAGCCATTGTGAAAAGCCGCGGCCCACCGCTTGGAAACAGCGTTCACGTACGACTTAGGACAAGCCCTTCACCTTGTTGGACGTACCTCGGGGGAACGGTGAAACGACAGGGCCGTCGAGATGACTCGGCTGCGGTAGTAATAGGTATCTTCCCGTCTGTCTTCTGCGTCAGGTGCCTTCCCCTCCCTGCAGCCCTCCTGTCTTTTGCAGCAGTTGCTTTGCCTTCCTTGCCGCCCGACTGCCTTGGGCCACGGGCGCTCCTCCTCCTGCCTCCCTGGCCTCCCTCCTGCCTTTGGCGGCGGGCGCCCTTCCCTCCTCTTCTGCCTCCTCGTTTCCCTCAGCGCGTTTCCGCCAGTGGGATGAGTCTCCAGAGCAAAGAGACGACGCGGGCGAGCGCATGCACTCACTGGAAGACAAACTCCACGACAACGAGGGCGACGAATGCAACCTCCAAGAACAGAGCGCGCGTGAAAGATCCCAGCACAACCGTGAAATATTGCAAGCGGCGCGCCGCACACCCGGAAGTCATGACCAAGAGCAGACCTTGTCGAACGTCACGGCCCGTGACTTGGAAACAGCATTGACCGAAGCTTTCGGAACAACCCGTCACCGGATTGGGCGTGTCTCGTATTCCGAAGCGCCGTTGCGCGCGTCGGATAAATCCCGGGCGCCTGAAACAAAATAGATATACCTTCGCCCGTGAGCAGAGCACGAGTACCATCACGCGGATGAACATGATACCACTAAAATAGTTTTGAAGGAGGCGTGGAGCTGCAGACACGCGTTTCACACCCGGTGTATCCCTCGAACGCAGTAAATGATTTTGCTTCGAGCGGTCCCCACCGAAACCTTCGGCGTTCGATCCCGAAGGTGCGCGCGCTCACTCGAACGCTGTGCGCGGGGCGTGGTGGTCTCGGTCACTGTACCAATTTATGGTATGCGATGTTACGTTACGCTATGACATGTTATTATGGTTAACGTGGTATGTTTATGATTTCATACCTTATGCTATGCATGTTCTGGCCGGCTATATAACGTGATGTAATATTGTGTTGTGACATGATGTGCTATGCCATGCTATGTGGGAATGTTCTATTTCTGGTATGATCACTAATGTGTTGGCTTGCTTGTTATGGTATGCTGGACTTGTCATGGAATGTACTTCTATGTGATGTGATATGTTGCTACGATCTGCGTTGCTCCGTCATGGTGTGTTTTGTTACGATCGGGCCTGTCATGCTCTGAGATGTTATGCATGGACCTGGTCTGTTCGGTGGTGTGATGTTATGCTCTGTTTTATGGGGGCCTGGGGATCTGGCGGCCGCCGTATGCAGAGTGGGCGAGTTGGCGCGGGGGGCGGGACCACCAGGGATTATCGTGGGAATTTTGGGGAACTGGCAGTCGCAGTGTGCAGGGCGACCGTGCCGGGAGGTTGGTTCTTAAAACCTAACGACCCCAACTTGTCGGGTTGGGAAAATAAATTCCATACCAAACCCAATAACTCCAAAACCATATTCAAACAATTCGTCCAATATCGCTATCCGGCAGTTGTCGCTACGACAAGGCCGCGGCAGGATCCGCAGCCCCTCAAGCGCCACGCGAAGGGGCCACTCGCGAAGCCAAGTGCTACGGATGGGACTCGAGCCGCATGCGCCTGAGAGGCGGAATGCGAGATGAGGAGGGGGCGGAGGGGGAGGAGGAGGAGGAGGAGGAGGAGGAGGAGGAGGAGGAGGAGGAGGAGGAGGAGGAGGAGGAGGAGGAGGAGGAGGAGGAGGAGGAGGAGGAGGGGGGAGGAGGAGGGGAGGGGAGGAGGAGGAAGACGAGGAAAAAGGAGGAGGAGGGGGAGGAGGAGAGGTGGAAGAGCAGCAGGAGGAGGAGGAGGAGGAGAAAAAGGAGGGAAGGAGGAGGAGGAGGAGGAGGAGGAGGAGGAGGAGGAGGAGGAAGAGGAGGAGGAGGCAAAGGAGGACGGAGGTGGTGCAGGCGAAGGAGGAGGGGGAGGAGAAGGGAGGAGGAGCGAGGAGGAGAAGGCGCGAGGAGAGCGAAAAGAGGAAGGCGGTGAGACACTCGACCCAAAAAGGAGGGAAGCAGGAGGGAGGAGGGCGAGGCGGAAGACGGGGAGCCCGACGGGCGGCCGCTGGCCGGGCTCCCGCGGCAGGCGAGCGGGCCGCGGGGCTCTTGAGCATGACGGCGGCCAACCCATTCGGGGGCGTGGCCAACCCGGGGGTGGAGGCGCTCATCTCGCGCTACTCGCTGGACGCGCAGGCGCCCCCCGGGGAGGCCACCTCTGCGAGCCCCGCCCCGCCACCCCACGGCTTCTAAGGCGGGGTGGGGGGGCAGGGTTCGCAGGCGGCCTCCTACACCCGTCGTCGTCGTCGCCGCGGCCGCCGCCGCCGCCGCCATCGTCGTCGTCGTCGTCGCCGTCGCCGTCGCCGTTGGCGTCGTCGTCGCCGTCGCCGTCGCCGTCGCCGTCGCCGTCGCCGTCGCCGTCGCCGTCGCCGTCGCCGTCGCCGTCGCCGTCGTCGTCGTCGTCGTCGTCGTCGTCGTCGTCGTCGTCGTCGTTGTCGGCGTCGTTGTAGTCGTCGGGGCGGCTGCTGGGGGGTGGGGAGGCCGCTCATATCTCGCGCTGCGTCCTGGTCGCACATGGCGCCCCGCCGCCTGGGGTCCCAGGCTTCCCCGAGCAGTTTTTTCGGTTCCCCGTCGTTCTGGTGTGTGTGTGTGTGATTATATTTTGGAGGGCCAAGCCTGCCTGCTTCTAGAAGACCAACATCTGGGGCCGATGCCAAATATCGTTCTCACGTCCTAGCCCAAATCGTCTATGGACAGTGGGTGCCATGTGGTTCATAGACACTTTCAGGGTGGATACGTCTGTGGACAACGTGGCCGTTGCGTTCGGCGTGGTGCAAGGTCGGAGAAAGGGTAGTTCCGTCTACGGTATATTCCTCTTCCAGAACAGGTTCCACAGTGTATTCCAATATATATATATATATATATATATATCGCGCGCGCGGCTTGTGTTGACTTTGTGTTAGTTGTTCTCCAATAGGCCTGCCGCTTGCCGATGGGAGTCCCAGCCCAATGGCATCGAGAATTTGTCCAGAGTGTGCCCCCTTTTCAACTTTGTACTTGCACGGCCAAGCTATCCGCATGGCTTCCTCTGCTATCCGCATGGTTTCCTCGTATCCGCATGGCTTCTTCGTGTGCGTGTGGCTTCCTCGGAGCCGCATGGAGAATAGAGTAGAGTGCGTCGAGTAGAGTAGAGCGGAGTAGAGGAGCATATGTTCGAGTAGAACAGAGTATGAACAGTGTAAAGTAGAGCAGGAGCAGAGTAGAGTTGAGTCAGTCAGGTTGAGCGACTCCGAGGGCCCCGCGTGTTCCCACGTCCCCGTCCACAGCACAATAACTAAGTGTGGCAACACTCAGCGTTGGGATTAGAACGCGCTCTCACTTTGAAATTCTTCTGCTTCAAGCGATCCCCACCGAAACCTTCGGCGTTTGACGACGTGCGCGGGGCGCGGTGGTCTCGTCCAGTGCTATGCCATGGTATGTGTTGCCATTTTATCCTATGCTAGATATGATACGATCTATCATAGCATGCGTTGTTGTACCGTGTTGTGTTGTGATCTGATCTGATCTTTCATGGTATGTCATAACGTGACATGTTATGTGTTGGCATCTTCTGTTATGTGTTGATTTGGTATGATATGTTTGATATGTTATGCTTCGGAATGATAGTTGCTGTGATCCTGTGCTATGGTATGCACTGCTCTGCCATGGTGTGTTACGTTACGATGCGGCATGTCATGATAGTGTATGTTATGTTCGAGAGAGCGTGACCCACTGCCGCTTTACTGTGGAAAAATTTCCCCCCTCTTCCTCCGAAACCCGGGGGTCCCCCCCCCCTCCGAAAATCCCCCCCCCCCTTCCAACCCCCCCCTCCTCTAACTCCCCTCCCCCCTGGAAAACCGGGGAGGGTCACTACCGGTTCGAACCCCCCCCCCCCCCCCAAAGAACCGAGGGGGGTCACTACCGGTTCGAACTCCTCCCCCCCCCTCCTTAGAAAACCAGAGAGGTCACTACCGGTTCGAACCACCCCCCTCCCGGAAAACTGGAGGGGGGTCACTACCGGTTCGAACCCCCCCCCGGAAGACCGTGAGGGTCACTACCAGTTCGGAAGACCCCCCCCCCTGGTATCCGGGGGGGGGGTCACTAACGGTTCGACCCACCCCCCCCTCGAAGACGGGGGGGGGGTCACTACCAGTTCGAACACCTCCCTCCCCACCCCACGCTCACCGCCAGCAAACGACTCCCGGTCCCTACCACCGTCCGCACCACAACCCACCCCCACTGCTGTGCCCAGCACCACTGTCCTCACCACCACTGTCCCCACTGTTCCCACCACGTCACCACTGTCCTCACCAGTGCCCCCACTCACTGTCGCACTGTCCCCACTGTCCCCACCACTGTTCCCACCAGGGTTCCACTCTCCCCACTTTCTCCACGGCCCTAACCACTGTCCCACTGTCCCCACTGTCCCCACTGTCCCACTGTCCCACTCTCCCCGCCGCTGTCCCACTGAGCTGTCCCTCTGTTCCCACCACTGTCCCCACTGTCCCCACCACTGTCCCCACTGTACCTCTGTCCCATTATCCCACCGCCGTCCCCGCCACCGCCCTCACCACTGTCGCCACCACCACTGTACCCTCCACTGTCCCACCATTCTCCCCACTTTCCCCACGGTCCCCACCACTGTCCCACTGTCCCCACTGTTCCCACCAGTGTCCCACTGTCCCCGCCGCTGTCCCCACTGTGCTGTCCCACCGTCCCCACTGTCCCCATCACTGTCACACTGTCCCCACTGTCCCCACCACTTTCCCCACTATACTACTGTCCCACCACTGTCCTCACCACCGCCTTCACCACTGTCCCCACCACTACCGTCCCCACCACTGTCCCACTGTCCCCACCTCCCGCTGTCCCCTCACCTCTGTCCCCACCACCACCGTCCCCACCACTGTCCGCACCACTGTCCCACTGTCCCCGCACCACTGTCCCCACCACCACCGTTCCCACCACTGTCCCAACATCCCCACCATTCTCCAACTGTTCCGAGGAGCGGGCGTCGTTTGCCGGCGGCGAAGTGGGGGGGTTCGAACCAGTAGTGACCCCCTCTGGTTTTCGACTTTCGAGGGGGGTGGGGGGGGGGTCGAACCGGTATAGTGACACCCCCCTTTTCATGATGGACCGGGGGGGGGAGGGGTTCGAACCGGTAGTGACCCCCCCCGGTTTTCCGCCAGCAGCAGCGGTAGAACACGCTCTTTCTGATGTTCGGATATGTTCTGTGCGGTGGTGTGGTGTTATGCTCTGCTCCTGGAGATCTGGCGGCCGCGGTATGCAGGGTGGGCGAGTCGGCGCGGGGGGCGGGAACACGAGGGATTATCGGGAGCCTGGGGATCTGGCGGCCGCGGTACGCAGGGCGGAGGGGGGGCGGGACCACCAGGGATTAGCGGGAGGCTGGGGATCTGGCGGCCGCGGTTATGCAGGGCGGGCGGGCCGGGAGGTCTGTTCTTATTAGAACCTAACGGCCCCAACCTGTCGGGTGGGGAAAACCCAAGCGGTCGCGCGCGGCCCCGCTGCCGACAGCCTGGCGAAGAGAAACAACTGCGCGGGCCGCGCAGGAGCGGGCGGCGGGAGGGTCCTCCTGCCCCTCCTCCTCCTCCTCCTCCTCCTCCTCCTCCTCTTCCTTCTCCTTTTCCTCCTCCTTTTCCTCCTCCTTTTCCTCCTCCTCCCCCTCCTCTTCGTCCTCCTCCGCCGGCGAAGCCGAAGCACGCGCCGCGCGGACACAGCGCTGCCACGCTCGCCCACAGGCTGCGCGGCGCTCGGGCGAGGTCGGCATCTCGCCCTTCTCGCGCGCGACCCCGCCGCCGCTGTCGCTCTGATGCGCTTCGTGGAGCGATCAGGAGGTGACAAAAACACAGACACAATAAATCGTCGATCCCCAGGAAAATATAGAAAAATATGGGAAGTGGGGGGGAAGACAAAAACCTAGAAAATATGGGGAACTATGGGGGAGATGTTTATTTATGTATATTTATTTGTGTGTCCCAGTTCCCCTTCAAGCGAGCCGCGCGCCGCGCCCGCGCTTGAGCGCCGCGTCCTAGCGACAAGTGCGCACGAAGCTTGGGCGCCCAAGGGCGACAGGTCGCCCTGCTCGCGCGGACCCCCCGACATCTGGCGAGCGAGACGTATGCGGCGCGTCGGGGCGGGGGCGCTCTTTGCTCTGTCGGGCGAGATCTCCGCGGTGCCGAGGCGGCAGCGACGTGTTCGTCCGCGCGCGCGTCGCCGAGGTCGTGTGCGAAGTGCGGGCGCCGGGGCCCCGGCGAGAGTCCAACTCTCCAGAGAGACAAGCGCGGCGCCGAGGGCGAGGGCGACAGTCTGGCCTGTCGCGCGGGAGGTGCGCCCCCTCTCTCATGCCCGCCGGTCGTTTTGCAGCGTGGACGACGTGGTGTATGTGCTGGGACGAAGAGGGGACCCCCCGGAAGAGGGGACCCCCAGATCCAGGCTCTTCCGGCCGGCTGGGTGGCAGAGTCGGAGTGTATACCGATGAGGAATAAAGGACAGAGTAGAGTAGAGTTAATTTTGAACATGCTGGGGTAGATCTTGGTATGGTATGTCAGGGTCGGGCTGGGTAGAGTAGCGTCGAGTAGAGTCGGTTACTTTGCGTAGAGTAGAACAGAGTCGGCTAGGGTAGAGCGCAGTGGATCAAACTAGGGTGCAGAAGCGTAGAGTAGAGTAGAATAGAGTATATTCGTGTACAATACAATCGATAGCAGTAGACTAGAATACAATGGAGTAGAGGCTAGCAGCTGGTAAAGTAGAGTATAGTCCAAAGTAGAGTCCAGTCCAGTCCAGTCCAGTCCAGTCCTGTCCAGCCCAGTCCAGCCCAGGCCTGTCCAGTCGACTCCAGCCCACAACAGTCCACCCCAGTCCATTCCAGCCCAATGCAGTCCAGCCCACTCAAGACCAGCCCAGTCCACCCCAGTCCAGTACGGACCAGTCCAGTCCAGTCCAGTCCAGTCTCTGCCAGTGCACGCCAGTCCAGTCCAGTCCATCCCAACCCAAGTCCACTGCAGTGCAGACCAGTCCAGTCCAGTATCCAGCCCAGGCTAGTCAAGCCCGCCCCAGTCTAGTCAAGCATACTCCAGTCCAGTTTATTCCAGTCCACTCCAGTCCACTGCATATCAGTCTTCTGATATAGTTGCCGTCGTCGTCGCCGTCGCCGTCGCCGTCGCCGTCGCCGTCGCCGTCGCCGTCGTCGTCACCTCCGCCTCCGCCTCCGCCGTCGTCGTCACCGTCACCGTCGTCGTCGTCGTCGTCGTCGTCGTCGTCGTCGTCGTCGTCGTCGTCGTCGTCGTCGCCGTCGCCGTCGCCGTCGCCGTCGCCGTCGCCGTCGCCGTCGCCGTCGCCGTCGCCGTCGCCGTCGCCGTCGCCGTCGCCGTTGCCGTCGCTGGGCGGGCGGCCGAGGTGTCGACGCTGCTGCGGGCGCTGCCGCCCCAGCTGCAGCAGATGGCCGCCGAGCTGCCAGTGCACGAGGCGCGCGCGCGCCGGGGCGCCTCTGGGCGGCGGCCGCAGCCCAGGTCCTCCTCCTCATGCTCTCCTCCTCCTCCTCCTCCTCATCCTCCTCCTCCCCCTCCTCCTCCTGCTCCTCCTCCTCCTCCCCCTCCTCCTCCTCCTCCTCCCCCTCCTCCTCCTCCTCCTTTGACAGGAATGGTTGAAAGTCTTCTGCTGGTTCCGACTCTGGCTCCCATCTCTCCGACTCCTGCCCTGGCTCCGGCTCCTGACTTTACGACTCCAGCTCCCGTCCATCTTTACGATTCCGTTTTCAATTTCGGCGACCAGTTCTCCGACTCCAGCTCCGATTCCAGCTCTCTGGTTTCCGACTCTGGCGTCCGTCCCATCTCTCCGACCCTGGCTCCGACTGCGGTTCCCGTCTCTCCGACTCCGGCTCCAATTCCAACTCCCGCCTCTCCGACTCCAGCTCCCAACCCGCCTCCGCGACCGCGGATCCGATTCCAGCTCCCGCTTTTTCGACTCGGGCTCACGGTCCTGATTATTTATGTTGGCAGAATGGGTGAATGTATTCTGCAGGTTCCGACTCCGATGGGCCCGACTTGCTGCGACGTGAGAGCTGGACATCCACGACCTCCAGCAAGCAGTCCGCAGACACGGGGGTCAGAGGAAGAGGTGGGAAGACGATACCACACAAATTCTGACAGCAAGCATGTTTCTCCAACTTGGAAGCGAACGATGATTTACATTAGCACAGGACAGCACTCAATGGAGCAATTTGGAAGAAGCGTTCCTACACCACACATACAGCGCTGACCACAAGTTCCACATCTACAACTGAGGGCCCCGGCCCGCCCGCGCCGTCCTTCCAGGCCCCGCCTCCCCGGCGGACTCAAGCGCGCCTTGCCTTGCCTCCTCCTCCTCCTCCTCCTCCTCCTCCTCCTCCTCCTGGGGGGAAGGGAGGAGGAGGAGGGAGCCTTCACCCGGATATCGGCGGCGAGCGAGGGGGGACATGAGAAGGAGAGAAGGCCTTCTCGGAAGGCGCCGGGACTTCTCAGAAGCCCCCGCGCCTTCCGAGAAGTGCTCGGCCTCTTCGGGGACGGCGCAGAAGACTTCTCAGAAAGCTCGGGGACTTCCGGGCCTTCTGAGAAGGCCTCCGCCTTTTCATTTCCCTCCCTCGCTCACCGCCGATCCTCCGCCTCTTCCTTTCCCTCCCTCGCTCACCGCCGATCGTGGCAGCAGATGTGAAGGGTGGCAGGGTCGAGGAGCAGGAGGCCGGGTGTGTGGGGGGGGGGGCAGGGGCGGGAGCACGGCCGCGTGTGCCGCAGTGGCTCTCACGGGAGATCGTGGCCGCCTGGAGCAGGCATAGGGCCAGCACTGAGGCGAGAGCGCGATGCCTGAATCGGCTGTGAGGGAGTCTCGGGTGAGACGGCCTCCGGGCTGGGTCGCGAGACACAGGACACAAGGGCATCCTTGACCTGGCAGGGTCGACCTGCTCCGGGCCGACTGCATGCGGCCGGTGCCGCCTCGCTCGGCGGCGGAAGCCCGCGATGTCCCGTGGAAGCTTGCACGACCCGACGCCGCTAACCCGGACCCGTGTTTGCGACCGCCCGAGGGGGGGAGGGGGGGCAGCGGGGGATGGCCGTCTTGAGGCTGCCCTTCCAGGCCCCACCTCTCCGTCCAGGGCAGGTGCTGACTCCTCCAGGCCGAAGCGGGCCATCCGCCGTGCCCGAATCCTCGCGAAGGCGAGTTGAGCTCGGGTTCGTCGGACTAATGAGTGGGTGGGTCGGCCTCAGTGGCCGACATCCCCCTGTGACCTCTTCGCCTACTTCTAGGTCTTCGGCCGTTGATGCCCAAACAAAAATTCATTCCGTGAAGCTCTTGTACATGTTTAACACGAGTGTGCGCCGCGCTAAGGCGAGAGCCACATTTTGAAAACCACCCGCCCTCAATCCGTGAAGCTCTTGCAATTTTTTAGGAGGAATGTGCGCGGCGCTAAGGCGAGAACCACAGTTTGAAAACGACTCGCCCTCAATCCGTGCAACTTTTGCAAATTATGATAAACGAACGTTCGCCGCGCTAAGGCGAAAACCACATGTTGAAAGCCACCCGCCCTCCATCTGTGAAGCTGTTGGCACTTCTTAAGCTTCAGAGTCATACGTGGCGAGGAAGTCTCAAGCGAAATGCCCGGCCCGCCCTAAAAACTGGCATCGGGGTGAGACAGGGGGATTTCTTTCAGAAGGAAACGGAATGGAGGAGGAGGGGGAGGAGGAGAACGAGGCGGAGGCGACGGCGCAGGCGGAGGAGGAGGCGGATGCGGAGGAGGAGGCGGAGGAGGAGGCGAAGGAATATGAAGAGGAGCAGAAGGAGGAGGAGGAGGAGGAGGAGGAGGAGGACGAGGAGGAGGAGGAGGAGG